AGAGTGAGTGAATTCTTCCTATCTTGAGTTCCTACGGTCTTAAAATTTATTGTGTGTGGAACTAATCTCTTTGATTGGGTGAGGGAACATGATTCATAAAGAAAAGGTAATGTTGTTGACATCCATGTCAGAGTAAGTAAGTGAATTGTGAATAAGGCATGGTATTTGTGAGTCGAATCTTGAGGCGAGGATGTCACACTTGTGTGCTTAAACTATTTTAAAAATTCTTGGTGTAATGAGTTAGGAGAATTGCTTAATAAGGCCGTATCAATAAGTGTAGTTTGATTGCTCGAGGACGAGCAATGTTTTAAGTGTGGGGTATTGATGTGTGGCTATAATTTCATAATTTCGTACATTATGTGCCTTGCATTTTACATGCTTTAATGATAAATTACACTTTATTTATGCACAATGGAGTCTATTTTATGTGTAGGTGAATTGGAGATGAAAGTAGAGTAAAATGGATACTTAAACGTTGAAAGTGTGCTCGAAAACAGCGAAAAGGAGAGACCTGGCGAGGCCAACCAAATTCTAAGCGTTAGGCTGGCGACGCCAGGGCTGAGGCCAAGTCCAATCCGAGTTTTGAAGACTTAATTCGTTCCGGTTTTGACTAAGACTGGGCCCACACGTTTAGGGTTTCTTCTACACATATAAATAGACCTAAAAACACCACTTGGAAGAGCGTTTTTCAGCAGTCACGTTTTTGGGCAGCTAGAGGCAAGGAGAGCTGGTGGAATAACCTCTTGGGAGTTAGAATCATCTATTTCTATATCTTTTCATCTTTACTCTGTATTTTAATTATGCAAAATATTTGGGATATTGTTACTGAGTATGAGTAGCTAAATTCCTAATCTAGGATTTTGATGGAATCTATTGAAGGATGATTTTCTTATTATGTTAATATAGATTTGCCGTAGTATTTTCTCTGTTTGTTCAACTATATTATTCTTGTGGTTGATTGAAGGGCCCTCAATTAGCTATGCCTATTTAGTATGTATTACTCGGGAGAGAGTACATATTTAGGTAGTTGTTGAACAACATCACTCCTAAACGTATATGAGGGATCAATACGGAGGTTTAAAGGCGGGATTAGGGATAACGAAATCTTGGTGCGATCTGAGTGAGCTGCACTTAATGCCAGCTAGCGTAATTCAGGAGAATATGTCTAGTAAATTGTGATAATTACTCGGGAGAGAGTTACGACAGTTAGAGTGCTCATGATCGGTAGAGAAGACTTAGGCAAATTTATAGGAAACGTAGCGAAAAGGATTCCGACAATTGGGAAAATCATAACTCTAGACTTCCTTAATCTTGTCTCCAATCCTTATCCTTGTTAATTGATAGTTTTACTGCTTTCTAGTATTTGTTATTTAATTAAGTAAAAAAAAAAATATTATAATCTTTATAATTAGAAAATTATTTGGACTTGTATTTCTTAGCGATATTGAACAACTGTAGCTAAGCCTTAGTTCTCTGTGGGATTCGACTCCGGACTTGTAAACCGGATTATATTTGCAACGACCGCTTAGTCCTTTTTATAAGGCATAATTGGGCGTGATCAATACGCATCTGCATGTTGATACTAAGATGGGTTCAGAAAATGAACCCAACTTATGTGATGACGTTCGACAATACAAAACTTTTAAAAAGAAATGCGTTTGAAATTTGTTGTTTAAAATGAGAAGATATTTATGTGATTGTAAATCATTTTATTAAAGATAAAGTTGATATTTTAAAGTTAAGTTGTTACTAAATATAAAAAAAATGCAATTCTTTTAGACGCTGACAAGAAAGGAAAGAGTGACATTAGTTGGGAGAGAGTATGTATTTTGGATTCTCCTGGGTGACAAATTATTTTCACTTGCCCAAATTCTACTAATTGATGTGTGAACATTGCACGAATAAGAGAAGGAGAAGAGAGAGCACGCTTATTAGTTTGTAAATGCAAATTACTCTGAAACAATATGAGGTGGTTTGGTTTGATTTATTAGGTGAAATTATCATGGTCTAAAAAAAGTATTGCTTCATAACAAATGTTTGGTTAGTATTTTAAATTATCTATAACTAATTTTTGTGTAATTTAATACACCAATTGGTGTAACACCTATCATAGAATGGAATAACAATACATGGATTAATTAATACATGTATCAAATATCAAAATACAAAATTACCCTTTATCTTTTCCTCAACCCCATCGTTTATCACCTTTTTTATTTTATTAAGCTTTAAAAAATAAATCATATTTAAATATGCCCTGCATATCCCATTTTAATTTAGTATAAATTAAAGAATCAAACGTTCGACGAAAATAATTTTTGGATAACTAATCGCTACATTACTAATTACTGTATAACAATCTTTCCATAACTTTTTTCTAAACCAAATGACCCCTCTCTGTTTTATGATGTTTTCTTAGTTTTTTCTATGGTGTTGGAGGAGAGGAGGGAGAAGGAGAGATCTGAAGGGAGTGAGGGGGGAGAGAGGGACCAGGGGCGGAGCTACAATAGTGGGTGCGGGTTCCGGCGAACCTAGTGACTTTTTCCGGAATCATATATTTGTATTGAAATATTTACTAAATCTATATAAATATATACTGCCGAACCCCAGTAACAAAAGGGGTTTTGGTTCAATGATAAGGGTTGTGGGTTCGCTGGAAAAGATGGAGATTCGATTCCCACTGAAACCAATATTTTATTTTAAAATTTAGAACTCACACGGTTAAATCCCTAACTCCACCTCACAAGGGATGGGTTTACAAAATCTGGTTGGCTTTAACTTTTGTGCAAAAACTATAAAACCTGTCTAATGTGTTGCATTAAAAGGGCATAAAAAGGGATAATACATAATTACCCCAAGTTATCACATTTTACCAACTGCACTCTTATATTTAGAGGGGTTCCTATGACCCCTTTATATTTGTTTGAAGTGTTATAAGTTTAACCGATACCAGTCCGGGAAGAAACAGTGTACTGCACACACCAATCATCTTCTGGCACGTAATTTTTTAAATACTATGTTTATTATATTTTCTTTTTTAGTTTTTACAATATTTCTTTTATTAAATATATCTTTTTATTTTTCTATTTTTATTGCTCATCTTCTCTTTTCTTCTTCCCGACTAATATCCATCTTTTTTATCGGTAAAAATGAGGAATCCGGCAATTGAATAGAAATTATTCACCTTCCATAAAGTGTGATTTGGCAGCGATTTCTAAAGTGCTAAAAGGAAAACCATCGAAATGGCCAGAAAATCTTCGGCTACCCCTCTGCCTAAAATCTCCGGCGACCCCCCAATAGAAAAATCTCTCCTTTCATCTATCAATACCATCAGTTAAACACAATCAAACCAAAAAAACTGAGAGAAAGGACCTTAAACCACATCTACGAAGACAACCAACCACTTCCACTTCAAATTGTCACTAATCAAAATCTAAAAACCAAAATTTAAAATGGCAGTGCTTCAAATGGGAAGTGGTTGAGGATGTGATGGGAGAGGAAAGAGAAAAGAACAGAAAAAGAAATGAAAGAATAGAGAAAGAAAAACGAAGGGAGGTACTTGAAGTGGGGAGAAGGTGTGTTGTGAAGCGTGGAGGTAGGAAAATGGGTGAATAGTTCTCTGGCATGGTGAAGAAAATAAGAAGAAAGAGAAAACAAAAAGGAAAAGGAAAATAAAAATTGAAAACAATAATGAAAAATGGTCAAATGTGTTATTTTGGGTGCAAACACGACAGTTGCCACGTGGGTTCAAAAGGGGTTATTTATTTCAGTTCAAACAAGATCAGGGATCATAGGATCCCACAACATATGAGGGTCCATTTGATAAAGAATGACAACCCCAACGAATAATTATGTATTATCTCTAAAAACAAATGATTACCTACCTGCTGGATAATTATCTGTCGTCACTGAAGAGCTTACTGTATGTTGAGGTGATACATTAATACCTGTAAAAAAATATTATCATGCGTCAATTTCATTGATAAATTAAACCTAGTAAGAATAAGAAAGCTTACCTGTGGTATGCAGAGCATGCGCTGTAGTTCAGCTTCGTGTATATATATATATATATACATGTTCAAAGAAAGCTCATTAAAATAGAACTAATTATAAGTGAGAAGTAAGAGAAGCGAATATATAAAGCTGGAGGAAGTACTTGTAATATAAGTACGTACTAGTTTTTTTTGTTTTAAATTTTTTTGATACCCCTCCCCTTTGATTTTCTTTTTGACTCCTTTATTGGAGCTATTGCTCCTTTGAACGATGTAAGTGGGGTACCGAACATATGAGTAACTCCCTCTTATCACGTACTGGTTATAATACAAAAGAATTAAGCAGTCATACTTCTATAAACTTTCATGAAAATGTTGGATTAACTTGGTGCGGAAAAAAAAATCATTATTACAGCTATTATATATACCTGGTAAATCATCTTGCCAAACACCACTAGCAGGGTTGAGACCAGCTTGAAAAGCCATGGTTGCAATTAGCGAAGCCACAATCATTAGTGTATTCCTCTTCCTTTCTATCCAATCATCTCTTTGTAATTTCTCTGAACTCTTTTTCTTGGAAGTATGATTGTCTTTCTTACGACATGCCCCCCTAACTCGAAGGGATTCTCCACTTTCAATGTCTTCAAGTTCAATGTAAAAGCAGGTTCATTGAGTCTCTTCTCCATTTCCATCTCCCTCTATAGATTTTTTACAATACCTTAAAAGAAATCAAGTTAACTTATAGGAGTATTAGTTAACTTTTCTGTGCTTCTTGAGACGTACTTCTTTCATAATTGCGGTTGTTTGTGGAAGTCTTGGTCAAGGCTATCAGGACAAAACAACTTTTAATTGCCTGAAAATATCAAGAACAAGTCGTCGACTAACTTTCAACAACTAGACAAAGCCACTTAAAAGTTAAAAGGACCTTCACATCAAGATAAACAAGCAGCGGAAATATTAGAAAACAATAATGGAAGCAAAATAAAAATAGGTTTGCAATTAAAAAAAATTGAAACAGCCTGAATATACAAAAATAGAAGAAAATCCAAAACTCTAGGCAAACGTCTCAGAAACAATGATACTAGTCTAATCGCCCGCCAAGAACGATGAAGTAGAACCCTGGATGCAAAGTAAATGAAAAGAAGATAACACTCAAGAATGCAATTCTCGAAAACATGTAATTCAAGTCGAATATGAACCAAGTGGGCCCAAATCTCTCCAAAGAATTTTCTTATCTCAAAATAAGTCAGGTAGGGGTGTACAATTAAACCGACAAATCGTACAATCTTATAATTCGAGTCAAACCGAAAAAAAAAATTTGACTATGGTTTGGTTTGGTGTTGGAAAAAAAACCCGATCATATTTGGTTTGGTTTGATTTTAACTAAAAAAAGTCAGATCGAAACCAAACTAACTCGACATTATATGTATAGAAGTTTTAAATATATTTAATACATAAAAATATTTATGGTAGTGTAGTTTATAAATATTTTTTAAGTTTTTTTATAGTTTTATCTTTTAACGTATTATTTCAAGCTTGGGCTTATAATGCTCCAATAAGTTTTAGATAGTCCATAAATGTTAGTAACTCAAATAAATCCTAAACCAAAATCAAATCAATACTAATGCTAATAAAACACATTCAATTCAATTGTACTATGAATGAAAATAGTGTTGGATATCTATTCTTTTAGTTTTTCCATGGTTTAGATAAAATGTATAACTTATGTTAGTCATGTAAATAATAGTACTTATTAGTCATAATTTTAAATTATGTTTGTTTCATTATGGCTTATTAAAAATATTAATTTTATGCGATTTTATTATCTTTATTATTGAATATTTAATTTTAGTACAATGTCATGACTCATCTCATATTTATGTTATTTTATTAAAAAATACCTTATATAGTTTTGTCTTACTAGGATTAAAGAAATATTTAGAGCACAAATTTTACGTTTTGTGCTATGAAGACTATATGAAAAAAAAATCGAAAAAAATTAAAAACCCGAGATTAAAAAACCCGACTTTTATTGGTTTGGTTTGGTATTTAGATTTAATAACCCGATACCATTGATTTGGTTTTGATAATTAGAAAATCCAAACCAACCCGACTCATGTACACCCCTAAGGCCACAGTGCTATAAAAAATATAATGGTAAAGGGCCAAATATACCCCTCTACTTTCGAAAATAGTCTAAGAATACCTCTCGTTATACTCTTGGGTTATCTATACCTTTGCAGTCATACTTTGGGTTCAAATACACCCCTCATTTAAACGGAGGGACACGTGTCATCGTCCTGTTGATCAATTATAAATATCTCCTAATTAATTAAAAAGACTCATTATCCATACACGAAAAATATATATTTTTATTTTTTGTAAAAACTGGAAAAAACTGAAATTATTTTTACTAAAAACTGAAAAAACGAAAATATTTTGTTTTTCATTTTTTACAAAAAAACTGCCTTAAAAAAAACTAAAAATTATTTTCTAAAACAATATTTTTGAAAAAACTGGAAAACAAAAAGCTGAAAATCAATTTTCTAAAGAATATTATTTGTAAAAACTGGAAAAAAGTGAAATATTTTTGTATTAAAAATTGAAAAAAATAAAAATATTTTTTTTCCAGTTTTTTTCAAAACCACTGCTTTAAAAGAAATTTGAAAAATATTTTCTAAAATAATATTTTTGTAAAAACTGAAAAAACAAATATTTTTTTTTCAGTTTTTAGTTAAAAATATTTTAGTTTTTTCCAGTTTTAAATTGCTTTAGAAAATTGCTTTTCAGTTTTTTTAAAGCAGTATTTTTGTAAAAACTAGAAAAAATTTATTTTCGTTTTTTTCAGTTTTTAGTAAAAATTGTTCTTTAGTTTTTTTCAGTTTTTACAAAAAAAATAATTATTTTTCGGGTATGGGTAGTGGATCTTTTTAATTAATTATGAGATATTTATAATTGATCAATAGGACGATGACACGTGTCCCTCCGTTTAAATGAGGGGTATATTTGAGCCCAAAGTATGACTGCAGAGGTATAGATAACCCAATAGTATAACGAGAAGTATTCTTAGACCATTTTCGAAAATAGAAGGGTATATTTGGCCCTTTGCCGAAAATATAAACCTAGACTATAAAAAGATCCAATGGACAAAATAGAAAAAGTTTTAACTTAATTCTCCAAAAAACACTATCGTGGAAAGGTGTGATCGTGCACCGGGATCTTTGAACGTGCTCTTGAGGGCACAGTAACTCCAGCGAGTCCGCCTCATGTGCGTGCTCTAAGGGTGGCAAGTGGGCCGGTCTAGGCCCGGGACCAGTCCGGGACCGCGGGTCAGGACCNTAATAAAATTTACAAAGCATTGTCTTAGATATTTTTTTTAACATCCTTTTGTCTCTAATATCTAATTAATTTAATTTAATTTTTTAAAAAATATGTTGGGCCCACTTAGCCCGTTTAGTCCGCGGGCCGGGACCGTTTAGCCCGGGACCAAACGGTCCCGGTTCCGGGCCGGTCCCTACAAAAAGTCCGTTTAGGCCCGTTTGGCCCGTTTAATTTGGGACCGGCCCGAGACCGGGACGGTCCCTACAAAAAGCCCGTTTAGGCCCGTTTGGCCCGTTTAATTTGGGACCGGCCCAGGACCGGGACCGGAACTGGCCCACTTACCAGCCCTAGCGTGCTCCATTGGGGTACGCAATTTTCAGCGCTCTCCCGTGCTTGTTCTTCACAATCTTCAAGCCTACAAATATGGTGTTGTTTGTATAAATCCTCAAGGTGACTACCTTTTAATCAATTGTTAAAATCATGTTGCTCCCTAACGTGCATTCCTTGGACAATCTTCAAGCCTCCAAACACGTTTACAAATAATTCAAGATCATCCACAATGTTTGGGCTAAAACGGCCTAATGACACTCTTAACATTGTGCGATATTGTCCGTTTTGAGCCAAGGATGCACGGTTTTCCCCAAAAGGCCTCACACCATTAAGAAATCCCCAATTTTTCAGCTATCAATGTGAGACTTTGTTCGCACATCCAACGTCTACTTTGCTCAAGCTATCCAGAATCGTGTCACCCTAAAACCTTGACGCTAGAGAGTTGTTACACTTTAGAGTGAGATGGAAAAAAAAGGTTAAAATTTTATTTTTCAGCATTTTTTTCTTTTGAACTTGTTCCACTTTTTAAATTTTCTAGTATTAATTTTTGTTTTCTTATTTTTTTTTCTACTTTTTCTTTTCTTACTTTTTTTTTCGCTTGTCTATTGTTCAAAATGGGAAAGGTATTTGATTTTAAAGCAAAGTTGGTGGAGAAATATGATTTTCACCCCCAAAAAAATATGTCAGGTCACCGGCAAATAAATCCAGTGACCGATAAATTAAAGCGGTTACAATTTATTATTTCTTTTTCTTTTTCTTTATCTTCGTTAGTGACAAGGTGGGTTGCTCTGATGGTAAGCACCCTCCACTTCCAACCAAGAGGTTGTGAGTTCGAGTCACCCCAAAAGCAAGGTGGGGAGTTCTTGGAGGGAAGGATGCCGAGGGTCATTTGGAAACAGCCTCTCTACCCCAGGGTAGGGGTAAGGTCTGCGTACACACTACCCTCCCCAGACCCCACTAGTGGGATTATACTGGGTTGTTGTTGTTGTTGTTGTTGTTGTTGTTGTTGTTGTTTCTTTATCTTCCTTAATTTGATGGGGAGTCTTGGCGTAACGGGTAAAGTTATTGTCATGTGACAAGGAGGTCACGGGTTCAAGCCGTCGAAACAACCTCTTGCAGAAATACAGGGTAAGGCTGCGTACAATAAATCCTTGTGGTCCGCCTCTTTCCTGGACCCCACGCATAGCGAAAACTTAATGCACTGGACTACTTTCTCTTCCTTAATTTCCATTATTCTTCATTTCTTTTTCTTTTTCATTGTTCTTCCCGTCTTTAGATTTGGGGTAGAACCTCACAATGGGTGTCATTAATCTATATCGAAAGCCCTTCCAACCTACTCAATATCCCAAGAACTATAAAAGAAATTGGGATGGATGACAAGTGGGAGTCAAATGAGATAAAAGGTTGATAATTTAGAGAGTAAAATAAGTATTTAAAATTTTTAATTGAGTTGAAAGGGTAATGTCAAGATCCAAACTTCATAATTTATGACTGTGATACTTAGCGAGCAACTACCCACAAAGCAAAGAAACTTCCAAGGGCAATATTTAGCAAACCAAAAAAATCATAAAGTAGCATCTTTCATATTGTTTACCCGAAAAACGGATAGAGTTGAATTTGTACGTGGTTCTAAGGATATGTGATATACCTTAATACAAATCGTAAGCATAGATAGAAATATCAAATATGGATTGCAAAGAATGCAAAATAAACAAGGTTGGAAAGAAGATGATTTTTAGGACTAAGCAAGATGAATCAATTTATGGAGCTTAAAAGAATAACTCTTGAATATAGGAGAATATGGTACTTGAATTACAATGTAAGCAAAAAACTGTCCTTTAGAGAAATGTAGCCATTCTTTTTATAGTGGAGGATCCTACTTTTAGATATAATTAAAAATATATAGTGAGAGACCCATGACAAATCATCTTTTTCATAATTCCTACTAGGATTCTCTCCTCTAGTGGGATTGCAACGGCTCTTGTCTGTGAGCTCGATATTGATTCGAGTTTTCGGTCTTAACTCGAGCTCTCGATCCTGATTCGAGCTCGATTCTGACTCGGACCCCCGTATTGATTCGGGCTCAGTGTTTGGTCGGTCTCTGAATCATAAGCTCGATAACTTTACT